ATATTTACTTAAGAGTACGTTTTATCAAAAACAAGAATAAAACTCAGATTGTTAATACTTATACAGAAAAGGAAATACTTTTATGTGCTACTAGCTTCCGCCCGCGACTCCGTACGCGTGGTATTAATAAAAATAAAAAAGTAGCTTATGTGTTCTTCCAGACTATCCTCTACATCTATGCCAAATTTCATTCAGACCCGTTCAGCCGTTTAGGCTACAAACTTTAACAAACATCCATCCATCCATCCATCCATCCAAATTTTCACATTTATAATATTAGTATGAAGTACGATTACTTGGATGTTCTTGCATTGGTCGAGTTCTTTAGGTTAGTAATTAAAATAAGTAACTACTTAACATCTATTAATTGAAGTTTACATCTTACGTAAGTTGCAATCTTCGTAATCTTGGCTGCAATCTCGTTATAAACCCAATCAGGCGTCAAACTTGTGTATCCGCTGACACTCCGGACGGGCTAATTGCCAATTACTTGATTACAGGCACCTAATTAGATACATGTTTACACATTCCCACTCGTCTACATTTATTTAGTAAATATACTTCATTTCCTTGTTCTTTAGTATTGAAATAAGCAATGGAGAATAACTGTTGAATAAGTAAAAATTTTAAAGTATTGGTCTGTTACTATGTTCATAGGATATTACTTTGTTACTCTGCCATTAAGTTATCTGAATCGAATAAACATACAAATGTATTTATTCATTTTAATATCATATCAAAAGAAGATTACTTCGGACTTCAAATGAAAGTGTACTATTTAAAGCTATTTGAATGTGTAGAGTGGACGTGTGAGCTGGCCGTCACCGTGCAGATTATGTCGGAGAGTGCGCAGACGCATTCCGCACTACACTACCACCATCTCTGATTCACTCGCACCATTTCTGATTTTGCACGTTTATTTTTCGAGCCGCCACATTCCAACATCTCTTTATGCAGGGCTAATATTAATCCATTCAAAACCAAATTCAAGATATAGTTACGATTAGTTAACCAGAGACATTTAAGAAATACATTGAATAGACTAGATATAGAAATATATATTTTTTCATCGGTAACTTCTTTTTACGGTAATATCTCAAAGACATATTTGAAACTTTGCTACCGCCGTGAGATTGTGTGATAAATGTTCCAAATGCAGTATCAACTATGCTTCTTCTATATATTTTTTGTACAGAAATAAAATAAATATATTAGTGATAGTTTATATTCTATTATCATATGTTATGTAACATATTGCCTGGCATTAATTGTGGGAACATGCCACATGAAGCAAGTGTCACCTGACCCTCGCATTTCAAAGCCTGCTTGTGTTGTTGCCATTTTATTTGTCCGTCGGGTAAATGCCTTTGCTTGTATCACAGTATTGAACTGGTCTGCATAAGCGGCGAGTCAGTGGGAAGGGGAGAAAGGGGGCAAAGGGGAAGGGTACGGGTAAAGTACGCTAACGTTAGTCGTTTGAAAACGTTGAGCTACGAATTCCAAATTGCTACTTTAGAAATCGTAGTATTGCTGTACTTTGTATAATAATATTAGAAGTATTTTGCCTAAGGATTGCAATAAGCTGACTTAGTCAGAATCTTCAACCGGTTACGACGAATACGTTTTCAAGAGCAGTAGCCACTACACCTATTTTAGTCGTCGTTTATTTCGAATGTCTGTTCTGTACGCAATACCTACCATTTAAATTGAATAACACTTAAATCCAAAATGTATCATAATTTGCGAAACGGTTGCATGGAATATCTTATATTAAAAAAGAGATAAGAACATACCCTCAAATCTGAACCACCTGACGAAGTAGAGTTGCTGCTAGAATTACCAAGACGTTCGTGGAACATATTTTGAAATGTTTAATGTTTTTAAAACTTACAAATTCACTACATCAAAAAGTTTCAATTGATCCTTCACTTTAGGCACCTTATGTTATCACTACAATACATTTTTACGTCAATAATTAAATTATTTTTTGTCACTTTGTTAATCACTACAGTCTATAAGTAATGCATATTCAAATTCAACACGTAAAAATCATAATTATAACCTTGATATAACTCTTATATGTTAATTTTTAAATACTACAGTTTTAAAATATCTAATAGTTTAACAAAAACACACACAAATTCCTGAAAACGGAGTACGTGACTAAGAAAACCTAGTTATCAATAAAAGCCAGAAACATAACAGAGTTATCGCACTGCATTGCCATTGGCAGTTGTACTTCGCGGTCTGTTTGTAATATAATTTGATAAAAGTCGCTATCACCTTGAATTTTGTGTTTTGTTGATTTGCATTACAAATTTTAGCGTTTCTGTCCGTCGTAAAGAGTTCGTACACCTTTGTTAATCGCCTTACTGCACCACAAAATTATTAATTTTGGACTCAAATGTGATATATAATTTTCATTATATTTATATTTTATATTTTATATTTTTAGAATTTTCATCGATACTTTTCGATTTATCATTAAATTAAGTATTAAAACAATGTTTATTTGCAATAACTATGAAGCGTCTATTTAGATATACCTAACGATGAAATCGTATCAATCACTTCTGATAAGAGGCTGATAATATTTTCTTGGGCCCCGTTTTAGGACGTTGGTTTCAGTATATATTTACAAACACAAATAAATTAATCATTTGAGTTATAACATCGTGTATGTTAAAATCGACAAAAACAATATAGGTACTTAGTAAAGTTCAAAGAATAAAAACAAAACAGACACCATCTGTAAAAACAAGTTTATTACATTCCGGACATCGTGTAAGCTATCGTTCAAACTCTACATATTCAGTGTTTAATAGTCCGTTTCACGAATATATAATATTTAAGACTGTCATATGTAACTCGCATAAAACATACAAACAATTAAAATAAATCACTGTTATCTCAGAGCTGATAATCAACAGAGCTTTTATATTATGAATGTTGAATTAAAAAGGATGTTTAGTGTATTATCGCGAATGCGGTGATTTCGCGTGCGCGTGGGCCAGTCGGCGCGCGCGTCGGCACTGCGCCTGCGCGTGCGCCGGACACATCGCGCACCGCACGCCCTCGCCGCGCCGCGCCGCGCCGCCGTGCATTGCACCTGACCAATCCAACATCCTACCACTCTAACATAACTTGAGGTAACTTAGCAAAGCTCTACTCAGTACTCAATCATACAATACTTTAAGCTAAACAGCTATGCATGTGTATTTATAGTTCGTTTTAAATTAATTACATGTTCTGTATGAGATGGCAGCAATCTGAATCTGACCATTGACTATGAACTAACGGCTCCAAAACTTCCTTATTCCCATTCATAATGTTACATTGATACGCACGCTCGACGCGCAAATAAAAGCTTACTTTGTAATGCGGATAACAATGAGCTTTTTATTGCCAATGGTCTTATCAACATAAATCTAAATACACATTTTAACGGTGGGTTTTCCTCGTCGATCATCTTATACGAAAACATACGTATCTTTTAGTTTTCTTGGAAAACTGAGAAAAGGACACATTTGACTGATGCCTGCGGAATGGAATCTCAGTTTCATTTAGAAAATAAATCAACAAAACGCTATAAATCACAATCTTATCTACAGCTGTAATCTAGTACAAAATCAGATAGCAAAAATATAAACACGGCTGCGAACCCGGAACTTAAAACTGGGATCAAAAACAGGACTCTTGACTATTCACTTATCTTGGAAACCATTAATTTAGCGTACAGCAATACTATAAACATCACTATAGCTGTGGTAACATCAAACCATGTTATAGCATTCATAATATTCCGTACACCTACACTTTGGGTTGTAAATTTTACGAGGATTTTACGAGACAACTTACATTTAAAGGCGGATAACGTTATAACGGTCTTTTAAAGTGATCTTCTTTCGGAAATCGACACAATCAAAACATTTTACGTAATACCGAAGGGGCATTACTTCCGACTGCACTATTGCGCTATACGAGATAAGCGCGTTGATAAAAAAATATGAGGGCTCGACTTATAGCACTTTTTTAATACGAACGAAAGTAAAACATAATGGTAACATTGTAGAGTGGTAGATACGTTTCTATAGTCAAGTTGAGATTGTTGACCTGTATAAGTTGAACAAATTATACAGGTCCAGTGTGATCTTGTTCATAAAAATATTAAAAAAAACAAATTCCTAATATAAAACGATTTCACGTGTTTTTTTACAAGAAAACTGTTGACATTTTGCAAAAAAATAGGTAATCAAAATATAGTTCACCTACCATCCACTTCACTCTACAATTTATCTCAAAAATAAAGTCATGTTATGAAATGAAACCTGCTAATGGTTTTAGTCTTATATGAGAATTTTTTTTAGTTTTAATCTTATTTCTCATATAAGATTAAAACTAAAAATATCTAATATTATAACACTTCGTCTTATCGCAGAAATATAACATTTCGCTGTAAGAAATAGGAAATAGCTTTTCCGGAACTAAGTCGTGACGCTATTAACTTACAACGAGTATTGAATACTTTAGCAGAATGTTCGCGATCCTCTCAAAAAACTTCGCTAATACAAAAAAGATAAATAGCGACATGCTCTACTAACTCTCTTGCTTTTTGTTGTTAGTTGTTATTCGTTATTTAAAAATCTTATTTATGTTTATGTTAAGACTTATTTAATTATTTATGTTAAGACTTCAAAATTTTTGCAGCAAATAGCTTAAAACATCAAATATATATAGTGTAACTTTAGATTTTAATTACTACAAAAATAAAAACATTATCTTTAAAAATAACGAATTGCATACACGTTAACGCCATCTAGTAGTGCTGTTAGTAACTACTATCTTATAATTCATGAGTCATATTCCAGTTGCGCAAGCGGCTTCGTGTTCGTAATTTACGATTAATTTACGAAGTTGAATATTGATCATTAACAGATGGCGTTACTTTGCATGTTTTTAGCTAAATGTAATATAGTTTTTTTGATTCATTATATATTTACCTTATTTTCACACGTCGTGTGGCAGACATATTTACACACTGAAACAAATAAAATAACTTTGTTAGTTACGTGAAATTGTTACTTTTTTCTTTCTACAGACAAATATTAAGCACCCGTTGGGAACAACCATTTTTAAATAAATAAAATCAATAAAATATGTGGTCTTTAGCATGTCTGAATAAGATAAAAGAGGAGTTCATTTTTAACTGCCGTGCAAAAAGATGAACCTACGCTACCAATCTTAAGTACAGCTTTATTTTCATTACGTTTGTTTTATTAGGCAGTTACAAATCGTGACATTCGTCAGCGACGACCTTTAATTCAAATGCCAGTCGAAACTGACGCGCCTGCAAGAACAGACATTTGCCAAGTTAAGAGCTGCCGGCAAACACGCATCAAGGCTTGACATTATTGCAAATAACATTGCGACATCGCAATGTATTCCTATCACAATGTGTACAACACTGACAATATGAAACATCTCGACACACCTCTATTGCAATATCACCTCCTTCTTAGCCTCCTTATGTACCATTTTAATATGCAAAGTAAATCATCAAGACAAGATCGGTAGGAAGACAGTTGACAATCTATTAAAATGTCTACTTTGGATCATCAGCATTCACAAAGATAGCCATAAAGGTCAATAGAAGTCCTTTTTGGATACTATGCAACTATTAATTAATTTAAGAAGGGTAATAGCACAGAAAAAAAACAGTGCAAATAATTACCTCTACAGCAAGAACCTTCGTTTTGCACTGGCTGATGGCACCAGTGGCACGGCCTGGGCTTGCGGAATGACTTGCGTCGAAACGCATGCTCTTGTGGCGTTCCTTCCTTCTACAAAAAAGAAAAACATTCTTACTTCTCTTGGCACTTACCTACCACTCAAATACAAGTATATTTAAGTTCCGACTACGTTCATATTACCATATTCTAACAGGCTACTCATAAATCACTTCTTTTAAAGTAACTATTATTGTAAGAAACATTCACTTTGCTTACAATGGTCATCTTCCGACATTAAAGAATGTATGTTAGCTTTTGACGTGTAACAAACGACGGTCGGCCACTGCCCACCTCATAGTTACCTGCCCATCCCTTCGTTAGGCTGATTTCAATAGTCGAGTGCCAAGGTGTATCACCAACCAACGGTTTTAACTTAAACAAGTTAAACTATAGACATTTTTTAAACATAAAATATGTCACGTTTTTATTTGATTATTAGTTTGCAAACTTATTCGCAAGCTTGGCGGTAGGGGGTCAGATTTTTATACAATAAAGTCCTAATTATAGAAAAGTGACGTCAAATGATGCGCGAGTGCCGGCGCCGGCCCGAAGACGCCGACACATTTGCCACACACGTGATACTACCCCACACCACAATGTATTGCTTTTGCTAAATTACTGCAAACATATTACAAATAATAACAAAGCGTGTTGTAATTAAACACTACTTTTTTATTGTGATGCACGTATTAGTGTACAAAATGTAACAAGTGTAGGTATTTAGAAAAGTGTTTTAAAAGACAAATTTGTTTTTTTAATAACTGAAATAAAAAAAAATAAAATCCCATTCCGACTAGGATATATCGCATGACTTATAAGTTAACCAATAAAACTCACGCAAAGCATTGATTACGACTGGTATCACTTTAATAACAAGTTACTTTCAAAAAATCGTTTAGAATGTTCGGGACAAACGGCACTATATCAAATCCCATCACGCACGAATGGTAAACTAGCGGGTGTCGACAGTCGACACGCACGTGCGCGTCTTCCTAACACCTGCCCGGTGCGCGAAATTCCAACATCTGGCAATCTTTTTCAATCTTTTTGTACCAAAAACATGCATTCCTGGTAACACAAGATTCAAACTTTATAACAGCTTGCGCATGTATCGAGCGTATGTCTTATTGCGGACGAAAGAAAGCCCAAACGTACGCCACGGTATATTTTTACTATGGTTATTGGAAGCAGCTATAAAGTTTGTATGAAACAGAGCAGATTGACACCGATTACACACGCTCCATTAACTGAGTAATCGGGTTTCAACGAACAGCTGTACAAGAGGTACGTAAACAACAAAGAGCCAACTGTTCGGACAGATACGAGTTACATGTTTATTGTATAGAATTGGAAAGCTATTGTGAATAAACGTATAGTTTTTGAATTGCAATTAGATAGTTTTGTTAATCAATGTTAGATTTTATCAAATGCTTTAATCTAAAGGGGACGTTCTCAAATCTTAGAGTTGACGTTTAAGCAGATAAATTAAAGTGTTATTTAAGTGTGTTTTGTCTTTATTAATGTTTTTACGCTTCTGAACGTTAACATCACTTGTTACGGATTTAATCAGATAGTTTTTCTTGATAAAAACCTGCTTTTAATTTATTTTTACGTGTAAATTGGCTGTACGATGTCTCCTGTCTGGTCAGTCATCAAGCTATTAGTGTCGTTGTGTAAAAAAATCGAGCAAACAATAGAACCAGTTATGTTTATTCCTAGAAACGCAGTCTCAGGGTTTCTTAGAGCATCCCTTTGAAAAAAAGATGAAGTTTGGGGCCGGGGGAGAGGGAGGGGGATGTGCGGACACATCGCCGCGGGTGTTTGATCTCTCCGGATATAAAGTTTCTTAACAATATCAGTTGACTTAAATAAAAACTTTAAGTAATTCCAGTTCTCGTGCGTGTTTTACTTGTAATGGTAATTGAACAAAATCTATCCTTGTATTTCTTGAATTTTAGTATTATTCGATTGCAAAAGTGATGAAAACTCATATTCCAATTATATGACGATTATAACACGAGTAAAATTACAGTAAAACAATGTTCGATTTGATGCAACAAACGGAAATTCCTTTACATTCTCCCAAAAATGCGGAACTTTTAACACAAGTGAGATGCGATGAAATGCATGAGATTACAACAGAGTGCACGACGTGGCACGCGATAAATCAACCGCCGCGGCTCCGGCTTTTGATATTGCCTTTGCCCTACGTTGTTTCCGAATCACGCACACGACTGACCTATTAAATCCACAACAACAAAATTCAATTTAAAACACAATGTAACACTAATAAAAATAAAGTTGAATGGATGTAGTGTTACTTTAATTACGCATTTCATTTAAAACACTGATTATTAGGCATTGCTTGAGTTAGAATAACACACTTACATTTTCTACACTTTTCCAAGAACACTTTTATATTTCCGCGCTTTATAGATATACTAAAACTTCTTACCACAACTAATGCATTCGAGTTGAGTAAAGCAGTACAAATTGTATTCCCTAGAGATATTGGGGGATCGTGTATTGTTTGAGACTTTATCGTTTGCATCACGCGAGTCTCTAGAGAAGAGGCCAATCCTCAATTACAATATTTGTGTAACAATTTGCAGTAACATTTACATCGTTTATTTAATGTACTTTTGAGAAAACAAAAGTTGTATATGGGTAATAGGGAGAGAGATTTTCAAGTAAAATTTGACTTAATATGTACAAGTATGTACTATAAATACTCACTATTCAAATAAAAATGATAAGCAATGTTTGTAAACAGGTGGCCTAATTTACTATCGCTACAGACAATACTCTGTAATTTCAAATAATTTCCTTATTTGGTTATTGATAACAAGTGCACATAGCAAAACAACTGAATGTAAATATGAATCTTTTTTTATTGTTTTCATTTCGGTGATCTTATTGCTAAAATACAGATAAATATGCTGAAAATATTCAGTTCAAAAATTTTATATTGCGTACCAAAGAATGTGATGAAACACATACAATTTCTATAATAATTAAATAAATAGGTAGAAGTTTTTCTTTCAAACATAGGAATTTAAACATATACGTGTATGACAACAGAATCTATTAACTACATTGGAAGCAAATAGAAATATTTTCACGCATCGCGGCGCTACACACTACCAATATTTGTTACTAAATTTGTTTCCTAGTAATGCGTTTTAACACATTCTCTGGACGTGGGCAACATGCGTTATTGTGAGCGATGCGGCAGCTTGCCAAAGCCAAGCATAAACTCTAATCGTTTCTCGTTACTTTGCAAAGGACATTTGCATGCATACAGCTTTAGGTTATTTAGTGGAGATTTATTGATCACCGGTGGATCGAAGAAACGAATTTACTAAATGAATTTAGTTTTAATAAAAAGTATTCTTCGAATATTGTATAGAGAAAGAAATGACTTTAATTGTTAAAATTGTAGATTGAAAATTCAAAGCAGACCGATACTTGTTGGACATTTAATGAATAATCCATGAAACATTTACGTAACCTATGTTTTTCAATGTAATTCCAAGTTGTCTATTCACGGTTTAATAAAGTATCAAGATGTATGAAGCGCTATCGAGCCTGTGAACTAAGATGGAATCTCTTCATTAGTATGAGCGATTGAGTGTACGTGGTACAGCGTTCACATAAAAAGCAAAGCAGCTGTCACAGGCTATGTTATCCTTGTGCTTAACAATGCGATATTAGTACTTTTAGCTACTCTATTGGTACTGTAAGTGACTTTGAGTTGCCATTTTTCCGTTGAAATGAGACAAAATGCATAAAATAATAGATTCATTGATATAATTTAATACATTTCGATGCGCACTTTCCGATTTTCAATTGTTTTATCCATCTTCTCTAAATATGGTCTAAAATAATTTGTTCTTACGTTGATTAAAAAAACATGTTACTTTGTACATATTTGTACGATAAAGTGTATAGAATTAAATATTGTGAATAAAGCACGTGTTTGTAAGGAATTACTGGATAGTGCGCGTTAAACGCTTTTATAGGCACCTTATCTGTGCAGTTTGTATTGTTCTGCTATTCTTAGACTGATAGCATTGTTACATTCAGTTTTCTTGCCTCACGCACGACATGTTATTAAAGTAATGGATAATTAAACAAAGAATATCAACCCATGTGTCTCTTAAGTAATCTTTTTTGGGGAAAATGGTATCGTTATTGACTTATTGGGCTAAGAAGGGTATGTTCTAGAGATTGTTCGATTGCATGTTTTTTAACTTGGTATATTTGGGTCAAAGCATTTAAACTTGAATGTGTCATCTTTGAAAATTTTTAACATGTTATAACAAGAACAAGAACATAGCTGTGTGATCAAATAATACCTTGGCGAAAACAAAATTACGAGGAAAATAAAGCGCTAATTAATAATAAGGTTGTATAAAGTCGGCGGAGTGTTTCTAAACGAAGCTGCTGTTATTGGGTTAGGAACGTTAATTGGTGTATTCAATTAAAGCAAAGGCCTGTTTAATGTTGAGTGAAGTCAAGACGGAGAGCCGTCTTGTAACCCCGCTGCCTCCGCGACGGCAGAGTGTTCCCGCACACCCACTTAAGGATTAACACTTGAGTACTAGTATTTTAATTGGCACTTGAAACTGGCGTGTAATTCTCTCACAATCAAGCTGTATTTTATTGTAATAATATACTTAGCTACAATAAATACTACTCAAGTAACTTAATGCTTTATTACAATGAATATAAATTCGATCTGAAAGATATATGCGTATGATATGATAGTACCGTAATGTAATAAAGGCATGTAAATTAAAAAAAGTATGTACTTTTGTCTTATGAAACTACCCGCTTTAAAATATTTGGTGGAAACAGAAATATATTTTCGACGCTTATCTCAAGAGCAGAGTGGCGCAGTGGAAGCGTGCTGGGCCCATAACCCAGAGGTCCGTGGATCGAAACCACGCTCTGCTAATAAATCTTTTTGTGTCTTTTTTTTAAATCTGACATTTATGAAATCATTAGTTTTAATTATTTTGAAACTTAAATAACATTGTAATAGTTTT